GTAAACCTCCCATCTTTAGGGGTGCCTGGGGCGGGGGGGGGGGCGATCCAGGGTCTTTCGCTGCACGTTCTGCATCAGGAGAAGTGCCCACAGCCCTTCTCAGTGTCTTACACTGTGTCTGCGTGTGTCCACTCTGGACTCGGCCTTTGGACAGCGTGGTCTCAGGGGGGCACACGCCTGAGACTGGAATTGTTTTTGTGGTTACAATTTAAGCATGACCAACGCCGGTGAAGAGAACACTTAATATCAGTGTTAAGCCCTGACCAGTTTGGCTCAGTGGATAGAGCATTGGCCTGCGGACTGAGGGGTCCCAGGTTCGATTCCGGTCAAGGGCATGTACCTTGGGTGCGGGCACATCCCCAGTAGGGGGTGTGCAGGAGGCAGCTGATCGATGTTTCTCTCTCATTGATGTTTCTGACTCTCCCTCTCCCTTTCTCTCTGTAAAAAATCAATTAAAAACTATTTTTAAAAAATCAATGTTAAACCCATGTTCTCCACAAAGGAATTCAGGTCAAAACACCAAACTTCAGGGCCAGTGACTCCGTTGTTCTATTACTAAATGGGGACGAACACCTACGCTTTCACAAAAATTACTCTAAAGCGCCCAGCTGGTGTGGCTCGGTGGCTGGGCGTCGACCTATGAACCATATTAAAAACATATTTTTAAAAAATTAATCGAAATAAACTCTTTTTTAAAGTATATTTTTATTATTTATTTCAGAGAGGAAGAGAGAGGGAGAGAGAAACATCAATAATGAGAGGGAATCATGGATTGGCTGCCTCCTGCTGCCCCACACTGGGGATTGAGCCCACAACCCGGCCCTGTGCCCTGACCAGGAATTGAACTGTGACCTCCTGGTTCATAAGTCGATGCTCACCCACTAAATAAATTCTTGACTACACAAACCAAAAAGTCAGATTGGCATCGCCTGTCCCAGCACCGACCTGGCCACGCTGACCGACGTCCCATCGGGAAACACAGTCTCCTCTTGTCCGTCGTGAAGACGTGTCACGGTCCCGTCCGGGAACAAGACTTCCTTCGAGCCGTCGGGGTGGAATTTCTCTGCAGAACACGCGCTTCGTTATGGAGGCACAATGGTTGCAGAACACCCAGGCTCGTTAACCTCCACACCACACAGTTATAGTCACAAAGATGTCTGTTCTTGTGATGAGAATTCCTGGATCTAATCTCTCAGCCACTTGCAAATATGCAATAAGTATTATTAACTACTAGAGGTCCGGTGCATGAAATTCATGCACAAGTAGGGTCCGTAGGCCTGGCCGGCGATCAGGGCCGATAGGGGCCTTCAGGCTGCTAGCCGGGGCCTTCCTTTGTTCCGCGCTGCCCCCTGGTGGTCAGCGCACATCATAGCAAGTGATCAAACTCTTGGTCAAACTCCCATAGGGACAATTTGCATATTAGGCTTTTATAAATCTACAAATTGTCCCCTTAACCAGGAGTTTGACTGGGAGTTTGACCAGGGAGCAGGGCTGGTCTGCCAATCACCCGTGGGCTCTCCCCACAGCCGGCCCTACCCCCAATCACCTCTTCCCCACAGCAATTGAGGGCGGGGCTGGCCGGCCAACCTCCTGTGTCCCCTCTCCCTGGCTGGCTCAGCCCGATTGGCCCCAATTGCGACAGGCCGACCGGACCCCACCAGTGCCCGAATTTGTGCACCCAGCCTCTAGTATAACAATAACAGTGTAATATGCAAATCGACTGGACAGCCAAACAGCGGAATGACCATCCGGACACCCAGACGACCTTCCGGACGAAGCCGTGGTTGTGAAGGCCTACTCTTGCACAAATTCCCTGCATCGGGCCTCTGGTATATAGTCACCCTCCTGCACATGACGCCCTGGGATTTATTTCTACCTGGAAGTTTTGCCTTTGGCCCCCTTTAAACTTTTTTTTTAATGCATGTTCCAGCATCCCCTTGCCCTGGGATATGCCCCAAGACCCCAGAGAATGCCTGGACCTGCACACAGCACCAAACCCTACATGCTCTGTCCCTACACACACACTTTTTGTTATTGTTAATCTCACCCAAGGATAGTTTCCCATTGATTTTTAGAGCGAGCAGAAGGGAGGGAGAAAGACAGGGCGAGAGAAACACCGATGTGAGAGACACAGCGATTGGCTGCCTCCCGCATGCACCCTGACCAGGGCCTGGGATCAAGCCTGCAACCAAGGCATGTGCTCTTGACCGGAATCGAACCCAGGACCCTTCAGTCTGCAGGCCGATGCTCTATCCACTGAGCCAACAGCCAGGGCTGCACACACTCACCTTTCACGCGAAGGAAGCAGGTCCCAGCCTCTCTCTGGCACGTCCGAATGCCAGCAGCCCCGGGGGAGACAGGGCCCTCGGTCGGGGGAGGCTTGCTGGACCCCGAACACGGTCTTTGGGAAACGGCCAAGCTCACCCAGGACCAGGGCTCTGTTGGTTTCAGCAAAGAGGGCAGACACTCGAAGCCGAATCCCTCCCTCACACAGACAGTGGCGACCACAGGGACAGGGTACACGGAGACAGCCACCGCGTGTGCCCTCTCCCAGGCACGCGCCCAGAGGCTGCATTCACTTGAGGCTCCTGGGGGCAAGGGAGGTGCTGACGCAGACGTGGAGGACGGGAAGCCAAGAGCCCTCCACGGGGGAGGGGCCGCCCGACGCGTCTGCACCGAGAGGGCTGGGCCCTGAGGACAATCACCTCCAACATGAACCCCACGGGGACCCCACACAGTGACGGGGAGAACTAAAGCCCCATGAAGCGAGCGCACGGAGCCGGGAGCCCGGGCTCCAGCCAGGGCGCTACAACCTGGAGTCCACACCGCATGGAGGGAGGACTACGCCGCACACGCCAGCCCACAGCGCACACGCCAGCGCACACTCACAGTGCACACGCCAGCGCACACTAACGGCACACACGTCAGCTCACGCTCACAGTGCACACACTGCCGTAGACCAATTCCAGCATGTCATAATTTCAAGAGTTCCATCAAAAGGTTGATGAGACTTGGGGACTCAACAGGGTTGAGTCACACATGTAGTCACCTGTTGGGAATGGCTAAAGGCATTTCCCTAAACCTGAATAGGAAACTGATTGTGGCTGCGAGACAGTTAAAGGGCATCTTAATCTACATGTTATTGCCTCCTACTGGCCAAACACCTGTACAGCCGTGGGCTATTCCCCAAACTGACAATGCCTCTGTGCCCTCTGAAACCTTACCCTTTGAGGTGTATTATCTCCTCCTTGCCTTAGGACAATTGTGTTAATAAAAGTGAGGGTCCTAGACAAGGAGGCACACTCTTCAGTTCCTTTAGCCGAAGGTCCTCTGACCCCCAATGCCTTTCAAAATTATATCTCGTCTCCGGACTCTTTATTTGTCTCTGGATTTCTATGTCATCTACACACAGCACCTTTTCCAGATTCCTGAACCCTTCTTGATGCTGGAACATGAACCCAGGCAACACACCAGCTCACACTCACAGTGCACACGCCAACTCACACGGTGCACACACCAGCCCACAGTGCATATGCCAGCTCATGCTCATGCTGCTCACGCCAGCTCACATGCACTGTGCAACATGCCAGCTCACATTCACAGTGCGCATGCCAGCTCACACTCACAGTGCACACGCCAGCTCACACTCACAGTGCACATGCCAGCTCACACTCGCAGCGCACATGCCAGCTCACACTCACAGCGCACACACCAGCTCACACTCACAGCGCACACGCCACCTCACACTCACAGTGCACACACCAGCTCACACTCACAGCGCACACACCACCTCACACTCACAGCGCACACACGCCACCTCACACTCACAGTGCACACACCAGCTCACACTCACAGCGTACACGCCAGCTCACACTCATGGCGCACACGCCAGCTGACACTCACGGCACACACGCTGGCCCATGGGTCCCTTGCCGATGAGCAGAAGCCAAACCACTGACCCGCCGGAGGGTCTGGTGCCATCCCTTAGGCACTCGGCGCCCTGTGGCCGCGGGCTCGCCGTGATGGGAAGAACCGGGAGAGAAGCGCCTGGGTTTCCATTAAGCAGCTCAAACCCCGAGTCACCGACAAGGCCCCACGGAGAACTGGCTCACAGGCCCCGTATCTCACGGCCCCACACGGTGCCTGGCGCATGGCACGCCCGCGGCAGGCAGGTGTCGCACAGGCCCCGGGTGACGTCACTGACCTGTCCGCTTGTCGGGAAAGCGCACGACCTCCAGGCCGCTGGGGTGGACGGTGCGCGTCGTCCCCGTGCTGGCGCAGTAGTGGACCTGCGGGCACAGAGGCACGGCGTCGGGGCAGCCGGCTGTCAGCGGGAGCTCGGGGCCCCTCTGGGGAAGCACTTCCTGCTTCCTGGTGGGAGGCTGGGCCTGCCCGTCGGGGGGTGGGGGGCGTGGAGGGACGGGGGCGAGGAGGGCCTGCCCCTGGTGGGGAGGGAGGTGGGCTCTGAAGAGGATCGTCCTCAAAGCCCCAGAAAGAAGACAGTAGGAGAGGTCGCTGGACATGGTGCAGCCCTGGCCCTTCACCTGGACGGGCCCTGACACCTGAGGCCTCCTGACCTTGGTGGCCTCGCCTGTAGCAGATCCAGACCCCAATGTTTCCCAGTGAGCGCGACCTGTGGGCCCTGTGACCCTGAATTACAGCTGTCCCACCCTCTGCCAGCAGCTGGAGATTCCAGGGCTGCAGGGACAGGCGGGGGCTACAGGGACAGACTGGGGGTGCAGGGACAGGCTGGGGGTGCAGGGGGTGCAGGGACAGGCTGGGGGTGCAGGGACAGGCTAGGGATTTGTGGGAATAATGGTCCGTAGTGAGATGAATGCAGACAGTGCTCATTTCTCTGTCGCTGCAGGAATTATCCTCCCAGGGCCCAGTGTCCCCTGGAGACGGGCAGAAGCCACTCTGCAGGGGCCCAGGGAATTCTCACCTCGACTTGCAAATGGAGGCCCAAGTGGCCCATCTTCTGCCCAGCTACCCCTCCCCCGAGGGAAAGTCCCCCTGACTGGTCGGCTTCGGCCGCTTTTCAGGCGGGTCCGCGGGCGCACGCACCACTCTCTGGTCCGGCAGCGTCTTCGTCACGTCCCCGTTGGAGAACCGCACGATGGTGGTCCTGAGACCCTCGTCCTTGGCGTCTCTGCAGCCCGCGCCCCGCGTCTCGCCCACCTTCGCGGAGACACAAAGGCCCGGATTGGGGAGAACATGACCCGTGTCTCCCTCCTCCTCCTCCTCCACGGCCCGTGCGTGGCTGTGGGCCCGCCTGTGGTTTCCGTGACCAGACACTAACCCACCGGCCCCACGCCCGCCCCGGGGCCTGCCCACGAGGGGCAAATGCGATCCTTCGCCCTGCAAATGCGTTTCCTCCAGGTCGCTATGCAGATCATCAGCCTATCAGCCCTCGGCCTGGGTATCCGAGCTCCTGGCGCTGGTGGCGCTGGAAACCTTGACCCCATAAACGGGTGATTTCCACGTAGACTTGTCCTTCGTGTACTTTTCCTTCCTTCCCACCCCGGCCCTTGGCCGCACGCCACCCGCCTTGTCCAGAGGTGACTGGTTTCTATCACAAAAGGCAAGTCTCACGGGGCTGCGCGGGCACCGTGCTGAGCTAGGAGGTCAGAAAAACCTTCAAATGCCTGTCAGGCTAACGAAGGGAGACCCTGACGGAAACGCAGAGACACTCGAGAGGGAGCCACACGCGGAGATTCTGAGAGGCGACGGCGACTATCAGTGACTGAGCGTCACTCCACCACGTGTGTCACTCCACACGGCTCAGGGGCCGAGCCGAGGCCACCGGGGAAACGCACAGGCCTGACCCCCACGCTGGGCTCTGAGTGTCCTCTGCACCCACCAGGCAGGTCGATGGCAGGCC